GTATCCATTCCAAATTGGGAGACTATTTGATTAAATGGGATGAAGTCCAATCCTTCATATATGTGTTCCAGGTATAGGATTCCTTTATTTTTCCAGTCCGGAAGGTTCATCATTTTGTTGTTTTGCAAAATGTCAGGATTGTTCCAGATAGGTGTGCGTCTGCATGGTACTAGTGAAGACTCTGTCATTTTAAGATACTCCCACCATGCTGTCAGAGAGGTGCTGATACTAATACTTTTGAAGCTTTCATGTTTTCTTATGCTTGAGCTAATAAATGGTAAGTCTGAAAGCTCTATCGTATTGCAAAGTGTCTGTTCTATATCTAACCAGGACTCGTCTAATGGGTTATCTTGCAACCATCTTGGTATATATTGCAGCCTGTTGGCTAAGAAATAATAATAAAAGTTGGGTAAATCTAGTCCTCCTCTGTCTTTGGTCTTCTGAAGCGTTTTTAAGCTAATTCGTGGAGGTTTATCCTGCCAAAGGAATTTAGTAATTGAGGAGTCCAGAGATTTAAACCAGTCAGCTGGAGGTTTGTTTGGGATCATCGAGAATAAGTAATTTATTCTGGGTAAGACCATCATTTTAATTGTAGCAACTCTCCCCATGAGTGATATTGGTAAGGATTTCCATCTTGCAAGATCATCTTCCACTTTCCTTAAAAGTGGGATGTAATTCAGTTTGGTTAGATCTGCTAACTTGGGAGAGATATTAATTCCCAGGTATGTGATATTCCCTGACTCCAATTGTGTATTAAGCAAATTGACAAATGAGAAATTAATTGGTAGAACTGTGGATTTTAACCAGTTTATAGAGTAATCTGAAACTCTGGAAAAAGAGTTTATCAGTTCTATTGCTTGGGAGAGAGAGGATTGAGAATTCTGGAGAAAGAGTAAAACATCATCTGCATAAAGACTGATCTTATGTTCTATTTTCTTACACTTTATCCCTTTAATATCTGTTGTTTGCCTAATTGCTGCTGCTAGTGGTTCAATAAAGATAGCAAATAGTGAGGGGGAGAGTGGGCATCCCTGCCTGGTCCCCCTCTGAAGACAGAAGCTAGCTGACATTTGGTCGTTCGTCCTGACACGTGCTGTTGGTGAACTGTATAATGTTTGTAGCCAGTTTATGAAGAAGTTCCCAAAACCAAATTTATGTAAAGTTGCAAATAAGAACTTCCAGTTAACTCTATCAAAAGCTTTTTCTGCATCTAGAGATAATATACTAGTTTCTATGTTTCTACTGTAAGAGAAATCTATCAAATTAAGTAATCTACGTGAATTTGTGGGTGATTGTCTACCCTTAATGAAACCAGTTTGGTCAGGGTGTATTATGAAGGGGGTTACCTTCTCTAATCTTTTGGCCAGGGCTTTACAAATTATTTTGAGATCAGCATTAATAAGAGAAATTGGGCGATAGCTGGTAGGAAATGCCGGGTCTTTGCCTGGTTTTAACAAGAGACTAATATTGGCTGAATTCATGTTTGGCTGTAATCTGCTGCTCTCTTCGATTTCCCTCACCATTCTGAAAAATATTGGAGCCAGAATGATCCAGAATTCTTTGTAGAATTCTACTGGGAACCCATCTGGACCTGGAGCTTTCCTATTCGTCATGGATTTAAGGGCTTCCTGGAGCTCCGCTGATGTTAGTGGCGAGTCCAGGACTGTAACTTGGCTGTCTGATAATTTAGGAAGTGTTATCCTGTCAAGGAACTCATTGATCTCATTATCTGATGGGTTTATCTGTGGTGAGTACAACGTTTGGTAAAAGTCTCTGAAGGTGTTGTTTATTCTTTCAGGATCATATACTATATTCCCGGTTGAGTCTTTAACAGCAGATATGGTAGTTTTCTCTTTATTTATTTTTAATTGGCTAGCTAAGAATTTACCTGATTTATTACTATGTTCAAAGTTTTCTATTCGTAGTCTTTGTGCTAAAAATTGTGTCTTTTTGTCAATAATTCCATGAAGTTCTAATTTAGCTTTACGTAATTTTCTCATTAACTCTTCTTCTGTGGACGCCTCTAAAGACTTGATGATTTCTTCTAACTCCTGAATACGTTTGTTTTCCGTTTTTTTCTTATGTGATGAGAAAGAGATTATTTTACCTCTCATCACTGCCTTTCCTGCCTCCCAAAGAATAGATGCTGATGTTCCAGGCAGGTCATTATGTTCTAAATATAAACTCCACTCCTTTTTAAAAAATTCTATAAAACCTTCGTCTTTAAGCAGTGATGTATTAAACCTCCAGTTTTTGCTTGGTGGGATTGTCTTTTTATTTACCAGAGTTAAAGAAACTGGAGCATGGTCGCTGACAACTATGGGGTGTATCTCAGTGTCTGAAATGTCAGCCAACAATGAGCTGCTGACTAGAAAATAATCCAAACGTGAATGAGAGTGATGGACGTGCGAAAAAAAAGTATACTCTCTACGGTTAGGATGAAGAGATCGCCATGCATCACAAAGCCCATAATCACTCATATACTGTTTAACTATGTTAGTGGATTGCCAATTGCGCTGAGTCCCAGCTGTACTGAGCCAGTCTGTTAAGGAATTCATCCAAAAATTAAAATCACCTCCAAGTATAAGTGGACAGTCCAAGTGTTCGGAGAGTACAGAGAAAAAATTATGAAAGAATGGAGGGTCATCAATATTTGGACAGTATATGCTGACGATACATAAGCGTTGGTTCTGTACAGATAATTTTAACATTATAAATCTACCCTCTGGATCAGAAACTGTGTCAATACTGTGAAATTGATGTTTTTGTGTATTAAAATAGCTACACCTCTTTGCCTAGAGTTATAGCAGGCAGAGAACATGCTGGGAAACTCAGGTGTTTTAAGTTCATCTGCGGATGTGGCAGATCTATGAGTCTCTTGTAACAATATTACGTCTGCTTGCACTCTCTTTAGCTGATCAAAAATCTTTAATCTTTTCTCAATGGAGCCAGCTCCATGTACGTTCCATGAGACAAATCTTAGTGCACCCATATATGTGTGTGTGAGTAGCTAAAATATGACGCCTTCATGTGAATAAGATGGAATAAGTATATAAATGTATAAATAGTATGTTAATAAATAACAAAAAAGTAAATAATAGTAATAATAATAATAATAAAAATCCAACAGTGTTTGTGGTTGTATTATTTGACGCATAAATTATGATATTGTGCTATGAATTTAATATATATATATGTGTGTGTGTGTGTGTGTGTGTGTGTGTGTGTGCGCGCACGTGCGTGTGCATGTGCGTGCATGTGTGTGTGTGCGCGTGTGTGCGTGTGCGTGTGTGTGTCGAGTCTGACGCAGTGTTGGAAAGTTGTGTGGTTGTGCCATACAGGTGTAAAGGTACAGAAGCAGGTAAAAAGGAAGGGAAGGTACAGATATAGGTTAAAAAAGAAGTAAGAACTAAAAAGAAAAGGTAATAGGGGTGTGGGGTGGTGATTAACAGGTAATCTTATCATCTACAAAACGGATTTAGCAGCTGTTTAATCCTGACGTGATCAAACCCAGTGAATCCTGATAAGAATAATAAATGTCTGACCTGATGTTGGGCTAAAACAGCCAGTCAGTCACTCCTCGCTCCTTGTAAAGTTTATTGTCCACATAAAGCTTATCCACCGCGATGACAGCTCTCTTCCCATCCTGGATAAACTTTTTACGCAGCGGAAAGAGAACCCGGCGTCGATCCAGAATCTCCTTCGGGAACTGATCATTCACGCTGAAATCTTTTCCTTTGAGCTCTCTTCCGTGACTTTTAACAAGATCTTTCTGCTTAAAATGTTCAAATTTAGCCACGATGGGACGAGGTCTTCTGCTGTCTCCTCTTTTAGCTCCAAGGCGATGTACCCGGTGAAATGTGATGTTTTTAACTTTTTCTTCGGGTATCTTCATTTCTGTCTGAAGAAAGTTCTTTATTGTTTGGTCGCAGTTCTCCGCCCCTCCCGTCTGCTCCGGCAGACCTGCGAACACCAAATTATCCCTCCTGCTGCGGGCCTGAAGGTCCAAAACCGTCTCCTTCAGAGTTTTGTTGTCCAGGGTGATCCGCGTCATTCCCTCTTCCAGGGAAGAGACGGACCTACACCTACTACAGATTCCCCGTCAGCGCTGCAAAACCCGTGGTGAACGAGCTTTTTCTGTCTGCGCTCCGAAACTCTGGAATGATCTCCCGCTGAATATCAGACTCCTCCTCCATTGGGGTTTTTAAGTCTCACTTAAAGACTTACTTTTATTCCCTTGCTTTTACTGCCTAGCTATTTTATCGATGGTTTTATTCACACTGTTCTTTTACTGATTTTATTGACTTCCCTTGTTTGGTTCTTTTTGCTATGCTCTAGCTGTTTTATTCTTTTATATTATTCGTTTAACCTTATATGTTTTTACCCCTGTACAGCACTTTGGTCAGCTCACATGCTGTTTTTAAATGTGCTTTATCAAATAAATGGAATGGAATGACTCTGACTGAATTGAGACTAAGTGTGTTGATCCCTGAAAAAGCAAAGAATCCTTTCTTCTGATTAAACATCCAAAGATCAAGCAGGTTGATATTCTATATTTATATAGAGTATTACAGCTTATTTATTGGTCATAAGTAGAGGTAATATATTAAGCTTAAAGCAACAATATTTACCACTCTACAAGGGCTATTCAATCCTGGTCCTCAAAAGCCACCACTTGCATGACTAAGTTTTCATACTTCAACAAGTCTTAAATAGGTGGGTGATTTAAGAGCTTGGGGACCTGCTGAAGAGATGATTCAGTCTTTGAATCAGATGTGTTGAAAAAGGGAAACAGCTAAAACATGCATAGCAGTGACCCTCCAGGACCAGGCCTGACACAGCCTGACGAACCTGTGCCAGCTTTAAAAGAACATGGAGTGCGTTATTACAGATCCTTCTCACTTAACAGGTCTAATAGTAGAATATGATCTGCTTATAACTGACGAACATTAAAAGAACAAACGTACATCTGACAAAGTCTTTTATCTCTTCCACACTAGAACTTCCAAGCTCTGCCAAGGCAGCCACTTCAAATCAGCGAGATGCAGTACATCCAAGGTAGGGCGCTGATGCACACTTGGAGAAAAGCAATCCTCCCACTTGTGCTCCACAAAATGAGTCTGTGATAAATGTTGAGGTGCAGTTATGTGTGTTGGCGGTGCACCGTTCTCCTGAGGCGTGCAAAAACTGATGAGCAGGGAGCCGTAAAAAGGGTTTATGAGGTAGATAAAAGTCTGCAGCAGTCTTCTATCTAAAGTACCTTTTTCCTCCTCCTTTCTGCCCTCCTGCAGCTTTGCTTCTTCAGCTGCAGCTCATCTTTTATGTCACAGCGTTGTAGAAATGTCCAAACTGCATACACATTCAGTTTTTTTAAATAAAAATGTACATCAAATGATCAAAAAGCTAAAAGTTCATGTGTTTCTCTTGAGATCTCATCTTTATTATCTAATTACACAAAAATAATAAAGCCAATTTTTGTTTGAAAACATGTTTTGTATTTTATATCTTTATCATGACATAACCAGGCTTGCTGTCAAATCTCAACCTTTTTCTGTTTTTTAATCATGAGAAAACAAAAAAGTTTCTCCTTTGGTTCACTATAGTTAAGGAACACCAGGATATCACATTCCATTAGAAACTTTAATGGATACGACAGGGTTTTTCCTGCGTTCAAATTTGCGTGGCGGCCGCCTCCAGCTAATTTTGTGCCGCCCCAGCCTGATTTCACTCTGCCCCCAGCTGTATGGATCTTATTTTAACTGCAGTTGCAGCGTTGTGCCACTACAGGGGCGCTGTATCTGCAGTGGTGCACCGAAAAGCACTAAAACCGCTGCAGAAAACGAAGATCAATAATTTCTTTCTATCTAGTTGGTACTTATCTATGGTTGGTGCTATTGATGTCCTGATTTTCCCCCAGGCTCTTCCATATCAGAGCAGGGCTGTACAGTGCGACAAAAAAAAAACTCTGTGCGTGTTTGTCTGTTTTTAAACGTAGCACTGGTGCAACATCTTTGAATTTCTATTTTCTCCAGAACTTTATTGAACAAAAGTAAGTTACGTGTAAGAAAAATGCTTTTTACTAGTGATGGGAATTACGGCTCTTCTTAGAGAGCCGGTTCTTTTGGCTCAGCTCACCAAAAAGAGCCGGATCTTTCGGCTCCCAAGTGGCTCCTCAGATTTTCTGTTGCGTAGAGACCATTTATAACCAAAATAATGCAAAACTATATGTAAAATGATTTACTAATGTAAAAAAATGCAATATATCAAATATTTATCATTTCTATGGATTCAATAACTGAACACTTTAAGAAATCTCCACTTTCCGACTGCTGGCGCTCAGTTTCTCATCGCATTCTCCTCCCTCGCCTTTTTCCTCCTCGTCATTCCCTCTAGTCTCCCTCCACCCGCATGTGCTCTGCTGTGTGTCTGAGTCTGATCCTCCCTCTTCCCTGCCCCCTACTGTTCTGTGCGTGGACAGTCTGGACACGCAGTTACCATCGACATTAATATGGCAGTTACACATGCTGACCAATCGCCTGTAGCTTTCACCAAAGCAAGGGGGGAGGGGACGGCTCCCAATGATGAGCCTGCTCCCGTCGTTCACTTCAAAGAGCCGGCTGTTAGAGCCAGTTCGTTCGCGACCGACACATCACTACTTTTTACTGGTGCACAGTGTGGTAATCTGGATGCAGTGGAGGAAAATAAAGGAACCAGCAAAGGCACAAAGGCAGAACCAGTCCAAAGTTTGGGATCAAAAGTGCAGCTACACGCAGATTGGCTAATGCTAAAGCTAACGGGTAGCAGTCTCACGATCAAGTGGCGCACAGAAAAATATATGATGATGGTAAAACTAAGAAAGACTAAACTCTACAAGCGAATTAAAAGTCCCCACCATCCTGTTTATTCTGCATCCTGCAGCGCTACGGATCAGAACCGCTGCAGATACGAGTCGCATTACTGCTACAAGTCAGCTCCACACACAGGAGCAGGTGTACGGCAAGCAGTTGTAGTATATAACTCACAAACGCTTTTATTTTTGAACATAATTTCAACTGGATTATTGCCAACCCGTACGTAATAGACATGCCACCATTACATTGTTAGCAGCAGAAATTAAATGTTATTAGCATTTCCAATACAAATGCATGTTAATGAAATGCATTATATTTAACTGGATTTATTTATGTTATTTTGACTAAGATGAGTGTTATTATTACAAACCTAGAATGTTACTGAACTGTAGGTCAAATATTTGAAAATATTTTAACTATAAATATCAGATGGGAAAAAGTAACTAAACGCCAATCTAATGCATATTATTGAGCCTTTCATATTAAGAGTCTGTTATTTCAGCCTGATAATTTTGTCATTTTATTTAATATTTTTTAGCAGCAACCAGTTTTGTTTCACTTGAAACGTTGTCAAATGGAATATTCAATTGATCAACAGAAGCTTAGATTAAAACACTTAACGAAAAAATATTTTGCCTTTAAAAAAGTGAGGCAGTTGAATGCACAGAGTGTGCATGTGCTGGCGCATGGTCAGGATGGTACCACCTCTGCCTCAATTTGAGCCAGGAAACACCCTGTACGACAACAGAGATGGTCTGGTTTACACATGGAGAATAGTTATTCTGTGGTATTTAATAAAAGAAATATCTAATATTGTCATTTAAACATTGACAAGTTTTTCTCAAGAAAACAGAATTGTAACTGGAAGCAGAGGACCGCAATCACACTAAACCATGTTTCTCATTCTAAAATCAGATTTTTATGTTCTTATGTAACATTTTTAACAACATAACTTCTTAAAAAATCAATTCAACATATTTCCTTTTAGTCTTACAAGTATTTCTTAACCCTCCCACTGTCTTTATGGGTGTGACCCCGCGAGGAAAGTTGACCATTGAGCAGGATTGATGGTTTATCCCTTGAGGTCCACATGGCAGGGGTGAGGTGGTGCTCATTCCTCACCCCTGCCATGTGGACCTCAAGGGATAAACCATCAATCCTGCTCAATGGTCAACTTTCCTCGTGGGGTCACCCATGAAGACAGTGGGAGGGTTAAAGGTATTACAAGATAACATTATATATTGTAAGGATGGGGTATATGTTTTATTCAAGTTAATATATTTTCCCAACAAGAAACATTATTTCATTTTTAATGAGCATGGAATAAAAATGCCTACATTTATTTAAGTTTATAGTTCAGAAAAAGATGAGCCAAGTTACTCATAGTTTTCCATTACCCTCTCTGTTCTCAGTCAGAGGTGTCCAAACTTTTCCAGATGAAGGTCAAAACTGTCAAGTCCTGGAGGCCGCAAACAATGTGATATATTTGTATTTATTTAAAAATCTTATGAGTTCATATGTTTTATTTGTAATTCTTAAATGAACATTATGAACAAAACACATAGTGGGGTATTAATAAGGGTTATTAGTGACCACTTCACTGTATTTTATCAAGAACAAATAAAGAGTTGGTAGCTATTTAGAAGACTGAAGATAGATAAATCCATAAAATATTTTTAAAATTGTTCAGAGATTCAAAATTGTGATGTAGGCAATGGAAACACTGACAATGATACATAATGCATGTCTATCAATTTTTGATGTTTGTACATCAAAAATTGTCCCAGGTAACAAGAGAGCTGAAGTGTTGCAGCGGCGTGTCCCCACTCAGGCCCTTCGCTCTGCTGAGCAGGAGTTGCTAGAAGTCCCCCGCTCTACACTAAGATCAAGGGGGGGCAGGCCTTCTCAGTAATAGCCCCTACACTCTGGAATGAGTGTGTGAAAATGATGTCTCATGCTTCCTGAACCACTCTTTCACGATTTGAGACTGATGAATCCTGGCATTGTCATGTTGGAATATCCTCGTGTCATCAGGGAAGATGGAAAAACCTGGTCATTCAGGATATTCAGGTAGTCAGCTGACCTCAAGCTTGGAGCACATCCTGTTGCTGAGCCTAGACCTGACCAACTGCAGCAACCCAGATCACAGCACTGCCTCCACAGGCTTGTACAGTAGGCACTAGGCATGCTGGGTGTATCATTTCATCTGTCTCCCTTCTTACCCTGATGCGCCATCACTCTGGAACAGGGTCCATCTGGACTCATCAGGCCAGTTAATAATAATAGTGCGTTGGACAGTTCTTAACCCAGTTTTAGTCCTTTCTAAAATCTCTTTAGATGTTTTCTCTGCTTGATGCCAATGATCTGACCCTTCTCAAACAGACTAACATCTTTTCCATGACCACCAGATGTGTCTTTCCACATGTTGTTTAAGGAATGAGAAGCAACTCACTGCAGCAGTTGGGGTTAAATATAAGATGAAAGATAATTGGCCATGCAGTAATCATCCAAAAGGAGCCTCGCACCTATTTACTTAGTTAAGTCCAGGTGGTGACTTTTTTTTTGTCCAGGCAGTTTATTGTAAATGTTGGAAATAAATTAAATTAAAAAAATCTGTAAAAATCTGGAGATAGAAAAAGGCTGCACGTCGGACATACCTGATGTAAATTATGTTTTCTAAAAGATCATTTGGCCAGAATGCCACATGTGCTAAAACTGCAGGACTCCTCTCTGTTTCTCTTTTACTTTTACACAAGATTTAGACCTCCCACTGTGTCTTCTTTTATATATATATATTTTACAAAGTATCGAGCAGCTGCTTGTTAACATCACAGCAAAAATAACCGAAGAAAATTGCATTTCATGATTCATGCTTCAGTTATACTGCAGTGTCTGTTCATGCAGTCAACTTAGCTGTAAATTCTGCTGTCAGATACCTGTTTGTGTAAGCATAGAAACGTAGCGTAGCAGCCTTAGACCTTGATCTTCCTGTGACTTCCACCCTGTACCCTATAAATGTCAGATGATTTAATTTATTTATCTGGAAAGTAGTTTAATATTCCCAGATTTTCTGGCTGACAACATGCAAACAAAGAACAAAAGCAACAATTCTCTGTTGATGAGTAAAACATGAAAACATGTCCATCCATCTGGTGGCATGACCGTGCCAGACTGGCACTCACAGCTCAGCCTTTGTTTTTCTTTTCTCTACCCCTCCGCTCGAGTGAATTACAGGCGCAAAAATCAGCACCTCTGCTCTTCACTGAGTCAGATCCCCAAGACTTGATGTCAGCAAATCCTCTTCCATTTCTTCCATCTCTCTCATCCACCTATCAGTCATCACTTCCTGCCTTTGGGGGAGAAGTGGAGGTGGTTGTTACAACTGACAGCAGTGTCCCTGTCTGCATGTGTGTTGTTGTCTTCTTTGTCAGCGTTTCTGTGTTGTGCTTCATCATGCTGACGTGAGAGGTAATGGTCGGCTCAGCGTGACGACCGCTATCGTTTTTCCTGCTTTACAATCATCACCTCAGAGCTGAGAGTTCAGAGATGAGCTGATTGAGCTCAGTTTATGATTTTACTCTAAATGCAGTGCTACAGATTCACGAGTATACCTATTGTCTTTGCAGATTTTAGTGGATGTCTAGTCTCCTCTCCTTATCTTCCAAAGGGGCATGCATGTATATGGAGATTTTTGCTACATACGTACATGTCCTTAAAAGTGTGGAACACTTGTTTAATCCATACATTTGCATTGGTCTCTAGTAGGAATAATAATAATACATTTTATTTCAAGCGCCTTTCAAAGCTCTCAAGGTCACTGTACAAGACAAAATATAAGGAACAGCAAGCAATACAAACAAGAAATAAGTGCTAAGAGTAATTCCCAAGGGTAGAGTCAGAGCAGTACAATGGATAATAGACTAAAAAGAGTAGATGGAAGGAGGACAGTTACAATGAGTAAGCCAGGCGGAACATGTGAGTTTTGAGTTGAGACTTGAAGGTTGAGAAGGAGTTTATATTGCGGAGGTCAGGCGGTAGAGTGTTCCAGCGTTTTGGAGCTGAGTGGCTGAAAGCTCTGACTCCCATAGTACAGAGACGAGTGCGAGGAACAGACGGGGAAGGTGAAGATGATGATCGGAGAGAGCGAGTGGGGGTGACAATGTTGAGGAGATTAGAAAGATAAGGGGGAGCGAGATTATGGATGGCTTTAAAGGCATGAAGAAGTATCTTATAGTCAATTCTTGGGATGGGTACCTTTGACATTTGAATCGATTCGGTACTAATTCCCGGTACCTAGGAATCGATACCGGTACTTAACGGTACCAATTTTCAATACTTTTGAGTGTTTATTATTTTAATTCTCTTTTATAATTAAATATATATTTTTCTCAATATATAACAATATTTGATAAATATCACGATAAATAACATTCAACTGTTTGTATTTTAATATCATCCTTGTAGTTTTATAAGCTGATAAACTGAAGCAAACTTCTTTACTGTGAACTAAATTTACTGTGTATCTTCATTCCTTTTGCCATTTGATTTTTCCTACTGAGAAGTTAGAATTTCTGAGGAGAAAGCGAACGCACCATTAGCTGATAACAACGGTGGCAATGGAAGCTAACATATCAAGCTAACGTTATCTTAAACAGTTTATTTAACTGCTGGAGCAGATTAAAACGATGATGCCTCACACTTAGACCATTATCACTGGTTTCATCTTGACCCAATCACCCGTCGCATTTAGTAAAGTGAAGCCAAACTTTAGAGCGCGTTCATGTTCTTCTAGTCGGAAATTCGGAGTTCCGAGGAGAAAGCGAACGCACCATTAGTGGAACGGAAGCTAACGTATCAAGCTAACATTATATTAAACATTTTATTTACCTACCGGAGCAGATTAAGATGAGGATGTCTCACTTAGATCGTTGTCGTTGTCTTTCTACCATGCTGCTCTGTTTACAACTGGCTCGTAGCAAGCGACGACATAACGCTCTTGCGTATGCGCAGCTGTCTTGGCAAGTTCTCATTATGAAGGACGGGTACTGAAACGAGGCACCGTTTGAAATGACGTGAATCGGTGCTCGGTCGGTACTATGGAATTCGGTCGGTGCCTTAAAAAGTACCGAATTCGGTACCCATCCCTAGTCAATTCTGTATTTGACAGGGAGCCAGTGAAGTTGTTGCAGGACCAAATCAAGGATCAAAAGTGGAGGTCTTAGTGATTATCCGGGCAGCTGAATTTTGGACTAACTGTAGCTTGTTGAGGGATTTTAGAGGGAGACCGGAGAGGAGGGCATTACAGTAATCGATGCGACTGGTGACCAGGCTGTGGACCAAAATAGCAGTGGAGTGCTGACTGAGGGAGGGGCGGAGCCGATTGATATTGCGAAGATGAAAATAAGCAGTTTTTATTGTGTTGTTAATATGAGGAATGAAGGATAAGGTGTTGTCTAAGATGACAAGGAATGAATGGCATGTAAGTTGCACTCAGGGTTGGAATGCAACTTTGATGTTTTCTCTCCACAAACAACACGAGCCTGAAGAAGTTCTGCCATATTGTGGAGTTACTAATGCTAATGGTTAGCTTTGACTACGTGAAATGCACTCTACTTTCTCCTGGGTACTAAATCAATAGTCTTTTTGTGGGCAGTCATGAGCCAAGTTGTGTGTGGCCATGATTACTAATTTTTTCTCTGACGTAGAGCGGTCAGGCGTTTTTTGACGTTACCATTTTCTCATTCATTTTCTTTTGGCGGCAAATGCATACAAAAGGGTTTAAATGCTATTTTAACATTTAGCTTGCAACTCAGAGTGAAAGTATTACGCGGTTTCTCAGTGTATAAGGCCTTTATAACCAAGTCTTGCCACGAGTCATGGGTTTAATTGTCACAGATCATTAAAGGACTGCATCATAGAGACAAACACTGATCAACATGATGACCTGTTCCTCCTAACATGTGTGCTGTATATTGGCTCCAAATGCCCCAGGCATCACTTTGCAAACATGTAACTAGAGGCTAATACAGCAAAATATATACATTTAAGCATTTTTGTCTTTGCAGTGGATTGAATGGCCTTTGCTTAACTCTCACAGGGAAGGAGAAGGAGGTTGTGACTGTTCATCCTCGAGCCACGTTTGTCCCACAAGAAGGATGGACTTTTCTTGCAGCAGGTGGGACCAGATACAATAACACAGCATGTGTTTTTTTTTTTTTTTTCCCATTTTCTTTGTAATTCTTAGCCTGATGAGATAACAACTAATCCAAATATCGCCAAGACCAAAGTAGAAAACATTTCCTATTTCTTAGCAGCGTGATTATACGTATAAATGGAATTCTGTAGTTATTATAATGCACTTCAGGTGCATCTGGTGATTGTGTCCAGCAGAAATTCTTCATATTTATGCTGAAGCCAGGATCCGACCTTCACTGAGCATTAGCCCGGCCTGAGTTTTCATCCTGTAAGGTTCGTGACGCGTAATACTCAAATAGCAGCCACTGTTAGTCGATGGGTGCATTTCCACCTGCTGCAAAGCAGTGCGTTTTGGACACGTCCCAGAGGTGTAGTGTCGCTTCGCTAAATTTACACTTCAATTATTTTTTCACGTGCTACACTTCCAGAACACATCAATCTCAGCAGTCCATATCAGACCAGACAGGAAATCAAACAAGAGGGCAGTATAAAGCATCCGACAACCTTCAAAACAAATGATGTGCAGATTTTCTATTACTGGTAAAAATTAAAAATAAAATGTCATTACCTCTGTGGTTGAGGTAAAAAGAGGAGAAAAAACAGACCCTTTTGGATACGTGCTGCCGTTTTTCTCCTTGCCTGTCATTGCGTGACGTGGTGAAGTCATGCATAATCCTGCCATTCTCCAGTGATTTTGTGACTTGGTGGGACCACTTGTATGAAAGTGTAATTAATTAAATTACATGTTATTTAATAAGCCATAAGGCGTCGGATTCCATAGGAAATCTGAAATCCACCTTATGGATCTGTAAGATTAATTAAACCAGATGATTGGAACTTTTTAAGGAAGTTTGACAGCCTGTATAGAAATAATAAATTTCTTCTTCATACATTCTTCTGCAATGCCCTGGTCCTGTAGAATGAGCCCTGGCATTTTTACTGTGACTGCCTGTTATTCTGTACAATCACAGAAAAAGAGAGCTGCTCGGGTCGAGCAGGCTGCTTCATGCGCGTTCACGCTCAGGCATCGCCCGTAGCATTTGCTATCCATAGCTTTAGCAGCAGAGTGAGGTAGTGCCAACTCAGCGACTTTGTCACTGTTCCTAACGCCTAGTGACAAACCTAGCTACATTTCTGAGGACCCTTAGCTACTTTCTTCTAAATATTTCCTGCAAATTAGCAACAAAATAGCCATTTTTGCTCCGAACCATTCTTTGAACATTGTTTCAGCTGTCATCAAGGATATAAATATTACAGATACAAATGACGTCACTGGTGCTTTAGCTCGCCTAGTAAGATGATGGACTCTTGTGCAGGAGACCCAGGTTCGATTCTGGATGTGAACATAGTTTGTTTAGAGATTATTTTTTACATTAATGGTATTTTTTTTTTTTACAGTAAGATGCCCAAATTTTTATTTGAGACTCGCTGAACGGCATTGAATTCACAGATAAAAAAGATGTGGGTTCAACTTTCATTTTGGAACAATTTTTCAAGCAAGGGAAGGGAATGATCTGAGCATGCAGGAGGACTGACCCATCATAAACCTTTGTCGGCTGTGCTGAAGAGAAAGGTGCAGAACCAAATTATTTAATTAATTAGCTGCGCGTTCTCCTGTCCTCCGGGCCACACACACACACACAAGGGACTGTCTCAGCTGTTATTTTCATTAAGGAGTGTGCACGTACAGCTGAAGAGGAGAGTTACGGATTGGCCACTCAGACACTTTCTTTAGAACGCTTTGAACTGGCGTTAGAGATGACGTGGCATAGTTTTATACTTCGGATGTTTTGGTTTATTGTTGAATTAAAAATTACCAAACACCATCAAAACCACGCCTCCGTCAGATCTGTCAGATTCTGACTGGATCAGTGAAAGTAATGTGTCATGTCTTTTTAACACTACGTGAAATCAGTCCTGTTGGAACATTTAAAGTCATATTACTTATTATATTCTATAGGATTATAATAAAGTAATTAATATTTTGATTTCACATATCGGTAACATCTTATTTATTGACTAACACTTTGCTTGATTAGCTTTATTAAAATAGAGTTCTTTGATTAATTAAAAGAAAAGAGTTCATTCTTCATTCTTCTGTTGAGCTGAAAAGAAGCAGGTTATAAGCAAATGCATGAGACCTTGAGACCATATCTCATGCAGACTAGTCCTGTGTCAGAGGAAGGGGGAAACAGTCATTTCATTCTGTTACAAAAGGCAGTAGCTGTTGATGCGCGTCTGAAAGCGTTTGTATGGAAGAGATGTGACGCTGAGCTGATGGTGAGGCGCATCTATTACGTTACATGCCGCTTACACATTCAGTGGAAAGCTCAGATAAATTCACACAAGCAATAACACCACTTTGTGGACGTTTTTACTTCCCGAACCAGAATTTAAAAGTTAGAGTCAGGAAACAAATTTATACTCTGCTACTATTAGTGGTTTGAGATAAGCATGTGTTAACCAATCAGAGCTATTAAACTGATTGATATTGATATTGGCTCACAAAACCAGAGTTGGTACGTCTCTAGGAGAAAGGTTTATGAAAGAACATTGGCATAAACCACTAGGGAGTTTTTAAGACTAGACATGTGACCTGTTCAAAGACATCAACAGTCCACCTTGCTCTTGTCTGCTCATGGACTAGCATTAGCTCATTGGTCTTAAAGGATATATAGACCCTTTTCTTCAATGACTTGTTTAGAACTTTTACATGAAAAATACTTCCAAATAGCTGTAAAATCCATTTAAGCCACATTGTTCTATTGTAAACTGCAACTGCAGTATGTAAGAATAAAGTGAGAATGTTACAGTGGGAAAATCCCAAAAGAGTCTAAAGTTTCAGTCATTTTTACACAGAAACATGTTTCTTATCCAGGTGGCTGCAGGATTGTCAGTTTTTCTCCTTTCGAAACAAAGGAAGAATGGACGTAACTACTGTTTACCATCAGTGAGTGTGGGGTTGCCGCGTCTCCTGCGAGCTAATATTGCAGCGCAGACAATTGTAATTTGACAACAGTCGGCAAAAAGCTCCAGAGTTGTTTAAAGTGGTTGCAGTAACCAAATTTTACCACAGGATGTCATTTTACTTCATTTCTACATAATGCACCTTTAAATAACTTTGTACACTTAAAAAACCTTACCCCGGGTTTCCACAGGAGCCGTCAGCAGCACGTTACTGCAGCAGCACGTCGCTCGCGTAAACTGCTGCTTGGCCCTTCCCACGAGACGCGAAGCAGCAGGGGAGCAGCTGTCACCGACCGAGCACGAAGTCACACGAGTGACTTCGTCAGTAAACACAACAACAAGCAGGAGAAAACTACAGCATGGTTTGTGTTTTATGTTCTGTCCGTTTTATAATCGCCCATACGGACCTGAAAAACAAAGGAGACCGCTAGCTAGGTGATAACTTCTCACGGGGCCGCACAGTTAGTAACCTTTTTTAAAGTAAAGCAACCGGAAGGCAGTACGTTCTTTATTCTGAAAATCTCGGGAGCTTCTCTCCATTTCCGCGTCCGATTTCCTGTCTTTCCTTCCCCAAAAATGTCGAACTTGACCCGTTTCAGAGGCGTCGCGTGTAGAAAATAGAACCGGCGCGTAAGGGCCGCGACATGCTGCTCCTGAGACGCGGCCGACTCGCGCTACTGACGGCTCCAGTGGAAAAGGTTATGTTGACCACAGCGGTTCCTATCAGCAGCTATGACGTGCTGCTGCAGTAACGTGCTGCTGACGGCTCCTGTGGAAAGCCGGGGTTAGAGACAATGATGGCAGATGATTTAAGTACCCTTCACATAACAAGGGTTGCAGGTGTGAGTTCCACTCAGTCTGTTGCAGTTGTTGTGTCCTTCGGCAAGGTCTTTACCCTTCTTGCCCGCTGGTGGTGGTCAGAGTCACCGATGAATGCTTGTGAATGGTTGAATGACTGCATGTGATGTGAAGCACCTTGGGGGGTTGTAGAACCCTAGAAGACGACTTTTACCATAGTCTGCATCAAAAGGTTACATCAGTCTGTTCAGTTTGTCCCTGGTGTGCAGACATAGAGATCAGATTGGGACACTGTCAGTCTGGCAGCACTTTGTGAGGACTGTAGAGTGTCTGCTGGCTCTGACAGAGTCACACACTTACATAACCAGCCAGATAAACCAGGGTGAACAGGGAACCTGCAGGATGGATAACAGTCTGATGGACTGTAGTGTTAAGTAGGGTTGCATATCTCTCTTTGACAAACGATTCGATATGCATCTAGATACATAGGTTGTGATTTGGTTTAAAAACGATATCCTTTCTTACAGATTCAAAACAATTCAATTCAAAGCGATTCAATTCGAATACCCTGTATGAACAAAACAATTTGTTTTTATAGTCAACATTTTTTGTAGATATTTTATAAAGTAAAGATGCCGCTTCTGTTAAAGTGAGAGTAAAATATTCTCTTTTCAGCTATGTAAAAGACCACATATCTCTAAGCATTGTGGCTATATGGCACTTGAAACAAAACACAAAAACAGCACAACAAAATCACATTTTAATGTATTTATTTGTAGACATGGACCAAAACAAGTGGCTAAATCTTTGGATGGGAACTCCTTAGGTAAACACAGCACAGAATACAAATAAAGATCAACATTTGAGGCTAAGCATAGTGTTTTGAACACTAGAGCTTGGTAATAATGTAAGTTACACACCTATAAACAAACCAAGTAACAACAACCTTATAATGATGGTGGTCATTCATTTCAAAATGTAACCTCGGGCCTAGAGAGCCAGAGTGGAAGAACAGAGCAGCAACCACGGTCTTATCTCAGTACTTAACACAGTGATAAGTGCTTTATGTAAAAATAATAGAAAGTAAATAAAAATGTATAAAATAAATTAACCTGCCGCTTTTTGACCTGTGTACTGAGTTCTCACCATACTCTCGACCATGTTTCCTTGCATGTTGTTCCACATTTGTGGTGCTGCTAGTAGAAAGTCTGATTT